AACGAAACTGCAAGTGTACACAATAAGATTCTTGAGTCCAACTACTTTCACCTTTGTTCAATGGTCATGCTGGAGCAAAACGCATTAGCAGGCCCGCAACCACCAGAAACATGCAGATGCAATCACAACGGCTGCAGAAGATGTACGGTGGAAGATTCTTGTAACCCGTAAATGCAGCAACGGCTTTTAGAATGACCATCAAAGGGGCACTCTGATCATGATATGCATCAACTTCCATGGATCCCTGGAACAGATCTCTGTCACATGCAATTGGTCCCTTCTCGTACCGGAAGGAATCTTTGCCCGAGCCTTCAGGCAGGCATCTGCCCATCCAGACTCCTAGCTAACAAAGCTGACCCGAAGGAACGCCGCGAGCTAGCCAATGCACAAAGTGCTCGTGCGACGCACACGGCATTGGTAACATCCTGTAATCCTTGTGAAATACGGTCAATATTACTAGCAGCTAGCTAGCACGGAAAAGGATGCATCGCAGGACCTGATGACTAATGAAGACCCTGACAAGGGCCTCCGGAAAGATTAGAGAGATAGGCTTCACTACATGCACGAACATCAATCACAGATGCAATTACTTACAAAGAACCTCCTCCTGTAATAGGCTACAATCCAGGATCCACGTGCATAACGAGATAACACCTTGTAGCGGCAAGAGCGGCATCTCCTTTCAGCAGCCCCACCAACATTCATCGCCGCTGCTAGCTGCCGTGAACGGCTCTACGGCACTGGTTCTTGCGTGAGGCATCATATAAGAGGCCACAGCCAAGACAGGTTGAGGACTGGCAAATCCTACACGACTGCACAGGTCGGCAAATGTCCGGCATGCATCCAAATGAAGGACTTGACGTCCTCGCAGCAGGATGCCACAGCGAGCAGCGCACCATGGCAACCTTGAGTATCAAGGCTTGCTGCATCAGCTGCATGCATGACCTTGTGCAAGTTGTCCGAGTTGACTGGCAGTTTTTCCAAGCTTCATGTGACAGGTGATGGAAAATGCAAGACGTCACGCTTACGTCGGATACGGCAGTCCACACATCACCACCTGAGGACCACCATCGCTGCGGGTGCAGAGCTTAGCTTCGAGCGCCCGCCGGCCGGCACGATGTCAGCCAGCGCCTTTACAGCAGTCAGCAACATGATTCGACTCGGCACGGACACGCCCAGGGAGGCCCTTCACAAACTGCGGGGGAGGCGCCCCCAAAACTCCGTCGTAAAGCTGAACATGCTCCCCTCGTCGATCCTGGGGCACAACTGGACATCCCACTCCAACAAAGCAAAAAGCAGAGCAATAAACGCCAATCAATAATCATCATGGACAGCAGGCCATCCACATAGAGTCTCCCAGTCACGCAGCCTGATCTCTTCACTTGGACAGTCGAACATATAGGACCTTTACACTACGAGTATTCGGTTGAGACCACTTTCTCGATTCCACCTGTATGATGGGTGGCCAGCCTGCTGGTGAGACTTGACCGCTGTTGTGAAACTTAGCCGGCAGCTTTCACAAGCTCCCCATCTGAATTCAATAACACCCTTGACCATCTTGGCCCATCTCTGTTGTCCAAAGCATGGGTGGAATGTGCAATGTCGGCTAGATCAACAGATCTTGGTGTTTTGCTGTGTCAGCACGGCTACATGCTCCCGGCTGTCCATCCACTCCTTGGGAGAGAAAACATGTCCTAGACAAGGACAGCTGATGCCGGACTGTGGCCTAAGACCTACATAAAAACCTTCCGGAATGTTGGATTTGACAAGCTGAGGGTCTATTCTCTGGTCTGCCTCAAGCCGTATCAAGCCAGTCATCCTCATGTCTATATACATCCAGAGATCTTGAACAGGATCTTCAGGACTTGCTGCCACACTGTGATGCCCTGCATCTTGCAAGGCTGGTGCTCATGAGCAGGAGCAGCCAATAAAGACCGTACATCACTAGCCTGTACAGAGAACTCTCGTGAGTTGTCCGACAGTTCCTGGGCACTTCTGCTCGTGAAACTCGGCAACTGTACTACAGGCGAGTTTGAGCAACGGCCGGCCGGGAACCCGACCCTTCTCAACTCGATAGTCCTAGCCCACTACAAACACGATGTCGAGCTCTTCCTCCGGCGAGACGGCTTTGGGTCCTTCACATCTGCAAACATCTGAAAAGTGCATGCTCACCTGACTGCACATCCGCGATGCCTCGAGGTAATCGATCCATCTGTTCGCACAAAATTTGGGGCTTGTTATCGCCACACCTCAGGCTGGAATGCTCCGATTGTGTGCGATTCCACTGTTGCTGTAAAGACTGTTCACATGCTGTTGCCTGCGGATAAATACTCCTTGTCCCGAGCTCCCGGCGAGAGGGTTATTTCACAATAATCAATCCAATAGGCCTCCGGAAGCCCCTTCAACACCAGATCCTCCGCAGCACAGGGAAAAAAGCCACGTCTCTCGTTGCTGGGTGAGCACTATCTCTCACAGCCACAGCAGCAATATTCATCTGAGTAGCTCGTGTAGAGCCGGTGGCAGGAACATCCTGCAAAGCAGTTCCCGTGTCGAACAATCAGAATGGCTTTTCGACGCATGGAAACATTGTTCAACTCTCCTTCAGCTCATCGCCTTCACATGGAATTGCCTCGTGGAAGCACCATGCAGCACGCGGCACATATGTCCTCTGGGCTTACTCTGAACCTTGAACCATGGCACAAGCCTCGCCTCCGCGTGGTTCAAACAGAAGGCAACAGAAGGTCTCCAAGCCGCGTGCTGCTCTCAATCTCAACCACAAGGGTGGCCCGGTGGCCCCCCCCCCCGGCACGAAGGCTCGTGCAAGCCAAGGTGCAAGTGGAGGATCTGGCAACTCCTTCCATGTCGGGAGTCAGTGCTGCTCCACTTACTCTGCAGTTTATGTCCACGCAGTCAGACGATTCGGAGACTGCTGGGTCACATGCCAACCAAACATGCGAAACGTATGAGGGAGGCACAGCAACTCGACGTACATGCGCTAATAATGCTGATGCAAAAGCGTACATAAATTACTTTCCGTCAACTGTAGATGGCAGCATCGAATCCTGGAAGCTCGGAAACATCTTGTTACGGTTCCGTGCGCCCGCATGCTTCAGTCAGCCACGGGCTGTTTTGCAGCCTGTCATGGGAGTTCCAGCTATCGCGAGGAATTTGCTGCTGCAGAGTAAAACTACTTCGCACCAATGTGCTTGATTGTGCTTTCGAGGACAGCAGTTGTAGCGCTGCGAGCATCTGCGAGCATGTAGTCTATGCGAGAGATCGCAGAAGACAGGGCTGCATCTCCCAGCACAACCCAGACGGGTTGCGGCAATGCCGACCCACCTGAGAATTCATAGAGACAACAACCCCAACAATCTCCTGAAAGGCTAGACGTCCACCCTGAAGGAAGCCCATGTGTCACAGTACGAATCCTCGCAATGACTCCATCCCGAGGCACAAAATGTCCTCAAGCGGATCTGTAGACTCCTTCAGCAGCGCGGGCTGCAGATTCGGGGCCTCCGTCTTCAATCCACATTGGCTACGTACGACTGCATGCTACTAACTACTATACGATTGAAGACGTTGTGTCGTCCTCGTGGACAGTGGGTGCGTGCGACAATGCGCAAAGTCAGACTGTATCGATGAGCGAAGGTTGCCCGAGGCCTGAGGTGGACGTGACCACCTGTGACCACCTGGCCTGCGCTTCCTGTTGTTTCTTCTTACTCTTCTTTTTCTTTTCTGCCTTTTTCCTCGCCTGATCAAAAACGAAATAGTTGGCACGACATCAGACCCATACAGAAGACAACAGAAAGCACAACAGCAGGTCCCCACGTGGCTTCCATTGCAACACAGGCCTCCTCCTTCTTGCGCTGCGCCTCTTCCTCCTCTAGTCTCTTACGCTCCGCCTCTTCCTCTTCCTTCTTTCGTTCTTCTTCCTCCTCCTCCTCTTTCTTTCTTCTCTCCTCTTCCTCCGCCTCCTGGTGTTTGCACAGAACAGCACGAAACAGGCATCCACACCGAAAGCCTGCCACGGGCCTTGCAGCGGCGATGCGAGAAGAAACGCGCCAGATGTCCTACCTGAACCTGGAAGACCCATTGCACCATCACAGTGTCGGCGCCTGCTTCCTCCTCTCCTCTTCCTCCCGCATGAGTTTTTCTCTTCTGGCCCGGCGGCGCCGCCTCAACAGCCGGTGTGTTCACAAGCTAGTCCCATAGCCGATCTTCTGACCCACAACACGTGCCTGACCACTACGAAGGTGACAACTCCTGTCGCCATTGCACATGTCACATGACACGTGGGATATTCCTCTTCATGTTGCCGCCACACCATGACGTCGCTTCTGGTTGTTTTTGGGTGGAGCCCATGATGACGGTCAGCACAAATTTCGGCAACATCAGCCCTGCACAGAGTCCTGCACCACAAACAATGGCCACAGAGGATGTTGCGGCGGCAATGGCGACGCCAACATCAACATCCGTCATGCGAGGAAGGTCGAATCTCTTGATGGATCTGGCCAATGTGGGCTGGCAGTTCTGCTGACATTGTTTCCAACTGGAGATTGCTTGTCCATAGGAAAACAACTGCACTGCAAGGCTAACGACTGGGTGGGGGAAGGCAATCTTGCTCAGAGCTACACGACATCTCTCGGATTCGATAATGCCTGGCTTTCTTTGAAGCCGATCGGCTGCGGAAGGTGGATGTCGAACGAAATGCAAAGTGATGGAGTTCAATGTCCTTTGTGCCCCTTCTTTGTCGGCTGCTCTCGGTGCACATAATCGTCTGAGTTTCTGACCCGCAAGGAGTTGTCAGCGCAGCGGTGGAAGGGCGCTCCTTGTGATGAAAACCCGGCGACCGCAGTTTTTTCTGGAACAAATGCAACTTCTCTGACCTGTTCGAAGCTACTGAGTCATGGCACAGCTCGACAAGTGGAAAGTTGACGAATGGAGAGGTAAGTCGCCTTCCTGGACTCTGCATGAAATCTGCCCAGGCCCTTTGCCACTGCCTCCACCGCCAGGCCACGAGACATGAAGCGCAAGGCCTCAGACGAACCAATTCCACAACGTCGAATCGTCGAATCGTCTGATGTTCTGTCCGCGCATCCGTTCGCATGGCCCCACTTCGTGCACCTTCTCCGCGCAGTTTGGCCATAGCCGGATGCCACAAACAGCCATCCAGATCGAAGGCCACACACCTTCTAAGGACACAAACATGGAAACACATGCAGCAAACCGGAAACGATTTTGCAACATCAGCTGAGGAGAGCCCTTCGATCAGCCTTGGTCGTGCGGCCCTTGCCGTTCTTCGCAGTTTGGACCAACTCGCCACGCCTTTGTCTGAGACTTTGCTAACCGCGACTATACTGTTGCGACTCACCTATCCAGAGAAATTCAGATTGAGACCAGTGGAAACTGCTATCTGCAGCCTCCATAGTTGAAGCTTTGTCCTGTCAGGTATCGTTTCTCAAAGATCCCAAAGCAACAGCAGAACAGTCAAGAGCTTGCCAGAGGCCGTCTAGAGGAGCCTCGTACACCAAGGCGGAGTTTCATGTGCACTTGCAGCCCAAATGGCCCCTGCACAGGAACGATTCTGCCAGACAGCGTCCGAAGGTTTGAAAGCATCTCAACGTAACAGCCGCATCGCAAGCCTCCTCCAAGCCTTCGGGATTCTGGACCGGGCGCGGGCTTGCACAGAGAAGTCTGTAAGAGAAAGCCATGACTCAACATGTAAAGCTACAGATGCAAGCATGCAAGTGGATGTTTCCTGCTAGTTTCTGATAGCAGAGTTGTGCGAGTCAACCTTGTTTCTGAGTTTGTGGATTTTGGCTGAAAGTTAGTAATGACATGAAATGAGGAAGCGGATCAATGCATGGAAGCACTATGAGCACAGGACCAAACTACAGGAACAGGCGGCACGTGCACGTCTTGATGTTTAAGACAGTTGTCCAGCAAGCCACGGGCTATCAAGCTTCCACAGGTGGCGCCAGAATCACTGGAAATGAAAATTCCCACAGGAGTAGTACAAGCAGCGCATGCCGTCCCATCATGTGCTTGGTACGACCTCCAGCTTGTTGTCGAGCATAAGCACAATGAGTTTACAACTTTACGGAATTGTCTGCCTGCGTGAATGCGTGTCTGCGTGCCTGCGTGCCTGCGTGCCTGCCTCTGCCTGCCTGCCTGCCTGCCTGCCTGCCTGCCTGCCTGCCTGTGCATGCATGCGTACATACAAACATATATATACACACACACACACACTCACTCACTCACTCACTTTTCCACTTCAACCTATAAAAGAAATACTGCCTCAACATATGTATAGATGAACTAATAAACAAATAAATAAACAAATGAATACATGTGTGTGTGTATATGTCTATGTATCTGTTTTTATATACACACTTGCCCGCACGTACACCAATGTGTGTGTGTATACACACACACACATATATATATATATATATTAATTTAATATATATGTATATATGTTTATAAATACACACATGTATTTTGTGTATGCACATACAAACATATGTACAACCGCGATCATCAAATTTCAGGCTGCAGCTTGCTTTCCGGTAATGCGATAGTTTTGTGACATGCACCCCCGAAAGGTTCATAATTAGTGCGACCAGCAACTGAGAAAGGGTTGTGAAGCTACACTTCACGCCCTAAACACGCATCCTGCACCGTCTCAAGCCGAAAGTCCAAAAAGCCAAAACGCTAGGTTCCAGTATGTTAAGAAGCTGTTCAGTAAATGAACCTCGTTGAGTCCTCCGACCTCCACAGCGAAAAGCTAAACCCTACTCCACACACTCGAACACGGCTACCGTGGCGCGCGCAGTCGAGGAGTTTTGTTCCCGGACAGCCTCGTCGCTTGGGCGGGACTGCCTGGGGCACCTAAAGCGAGTACAAGGCTGAAATAGGGTTGATGATATAATATAAATCCTGCATTACCTTAAGGACCCTAAACTATGGGAACTGTGGTATATTCCTTATTATCCCTAAACCATAAACCCTCAACCCTTAAGGACCCCAAACTATGGGAACTATGGTATATTCCGTACTATGGGTAATGCCGGATTTATAGCATGATCCGTACTGTTGAGGTTTGAGTCTTTTAGGGTTTGACTCCCCTGGCTTTGGGCTTTAGAGTACAAATATAATAGGGTCTTGAGGTTTGGGGTTTGGGGTTTACTTAGGGTTTAGGGTTTACTTAGTTAGGGTTTAGTTTAAGGGTTTAGAGTTTAGGGGTTACCCTCTGAAGTTCCTCTGTTAGGTTAACGAGGTTTGTCTGGTCAGGATCCTTCTTCCTCACAGGGTCAACCAAAAAAGGAGCTGCAATGGAGACGAAAGGTATGTCTTAATTTCCGAAACTCATAGCTGATAAGAACACAGCCCTCAAACCCTAAAACCCTAAAGCCCTAAAGCTCTAAACCCTAAAAGCCCCAAAAACCGTAAAGCCCTAAAGCCCTAAAGCCCTACCCTGAGCCCTATATTATATAAGCGGATTTCTTGATTCGACCAGGGGTTGAAATTTGAGGCTCCAGAGCCCAGGGGTTCATGCTATCAGGGTTTTGAACCCTGACCCCTAGACCCTAAGACCCTAAGTACGTAAGACCTTTATGTATTATTTGACGGGTCTGTTTCCTCTTCCAATATTTTCAGGAATTTAAGGACCCTTTCCAAAGAAAGGGCCTTTCAAATTTTGAAAAGGCCGTTTTAAATTCTAAAGGGTCTTTTCAAATTTAAAGGGACTTTCAAATTTCAAAAAGCCCTTTAAATTTTTAAAAGGCCTTTCATCTTTTTAAAAGTCT